AGAATTAATTAATGTGATGGGTTTCCGGGTGTCAACACACCTGGTTGACTAAAAACAATACAGTCTGCCCTGGTCCTTAATGTCTCAGATCACATCCATCTACTGGCTCTACTACCAAATTGAGATGGTAGAACAGAAGAGGAGACGGAGGTTTTATTCTGGTCAGCCAGGGGTATGACGCATGCAGAAACCTATCACTGTGCTCAAGAGTATCCAAATCAGATTGAGCGTTCCACCTATGTGTGCCACATACCCACGAGAATTTCCCTGTGGCTAGAATGAAATGTGTTCTTTCCCTAGAGAGACGCATCCTCCTTACCTAACTCTGGTGAGTACTAAGCATAGGTTTGCAAGAGCCAAGGCTTGAGGGCTCAGGAGTATGCACTGGGATCACTGCTGAAGTCTAGACAGCTAAAACTGCACAGCTTGCCATTGAGAGAACTGTCTGGAAAGCGTCCTGCTGCTTGTCCAGCTAGGACCAGCTTGCTCTAGCTGGAGAAGCAGCATTAAGGAGCATTAGCTTGCAGGGTTAATAGGATTCCTGCTAAAGAGCCAGGCAGACGGAATCATCTGGCTCAAGAACCAGACTACTGAGATTATCATAGAGGATTGACTTGACAATGTTGTTGAGTGAGTTAACTGCAAAGCAATCACTAAGAAATCACAGTAATTAAATAACCAACTCTCACATTATGGATGTTTGTGGGGCACTACTGTGCACCAAACTGGCTGCTGTGTTTGCTTACAAAATACACAAGATGACTGTACTTTAAAATTTTGTGCAGGGCTTTAAGCCATCGTCCTGACGTTAAAAATGCTAAATCAAATCCTGTCCTCCCATCACAGCATTGGGATGCTTCTTAAACCTACATCTCCTGCCACACCCCCACACTTCTCTGACCTCCTTTCTCCTCACTCCCCCACCCACCATATCCGCTCGGCTAGCTCTGTCCCCCTGCTTGTCCCTCGACTTCTCTGCTCCACCAACGGCGTCTGCCCTTTCAGCCATTCCACCCAGAAGCTTCAGAACTTTCTCCCCGTCCCCTCTGCCTTGCCATCCTCTTTTAGATCATGACTGAAGACCTTCCTCTTCGACTGTGCTTATGGACACCTTCCCTCTCCCCCGGTGTCAGGCTCCACCACTGTTAAGCGCTCTGAGACCCTGCATGAAGGGGGCGATATAAATGCAACTTTTTGGTATTAAACGTTTCCCAGATCCAGGCCCCAATCACTCTCCCTGGTAATCCCACCCACCCCACCACCCGAACCAGCTAAAGACATATTTTTGAGAAAAAGAGAGATTTATGGCCAAGAATCCTCCAAAAACCATACCTGACATTCGCAAGTGGGACCTTGTTGTGAGCAAAACGCTGTTGTACTTGTGTACGAAAAATACACAGTCACTACAGTAAACCCAACAGTAATTACAGTGAAGCAACTGAGGTTCTTCATTGTGATACGGCAAGCTCCTTTGTCGATGGATTTTATAAAACATCACAGACGCTGCCTGTACAAACTGGAGCTGGCCTTTCAGGAATCACTTCCCAAACCTAACACTGGGTGACTGAATGAGGCTCAAAACAACTTCCAGCTCCTCCTCCCGCTAACATGATTTACTCCCCCCGGTTCCCCCATTCCCAGACACGTAGTGTCCCAATTTTCAGAGCGCTGATGGCGTGACCACAGTCTCTCTCTCGCGCTGGTCCCCTTAGTATTCATTAGGGCTGGCCGCTGAATGGTGCCACGGATTAAATCTCAAACAGACCCTTTGCATTATCTGCGCACCCCATGACATCATCCAGTGGGACGGCCAAGGCTGTCCAAAGTGGGAGCTGCAGAGTTTTACCAACAGACCGGGCGTTGTTTACTCGGGAAACCTGAGCCCCGGCTTTTGACAAGGGACCCATTAGCTGTCAGAATGTTGAAAAAAAACCTACCACGGTTAGGTCAGGATTTCCTCTAACACCAAGTGTATGGTCAGAACGCTGGTATTTCCAATGACATTTTCCTGTGTGATCCCAGGTTTCCTGTATGTGTGCAGTTTTGTAGGTACTGTTGGGTCCGTGTATATGTAATATGCTGGTGCTTTGTTCAGTTTAGATCGTTTCCCATGTCAGGGCCCCTTCGTGGGCAATGAGCTATCTGGTCAATCAACAGAGCCGTACAATCCCCATGATCGGACTCGGTAAAGTTACTGTTACCCAGGCCTTCCCCACGGCGCATAAACAAGGAACTCGGAAGGAAGTCTTTCTATAGTCTCTGACAGACATCCACACAAACAACTTCCTCTTATGCTCCCTGGCTATCCCTTCTCCCCACACCCACACCCCTGCTCCCCGGCTATCCCCTCCCACTCTCCATTCCACATCAGTCCATCTCTACCCAACAGCGCTATGCCAGGCTGTGCCCCCAACCGAAAGGCTCTCCACCTCACTATTTCACTTTCATGGAAACATCACAGCACTTTGCCGCATTGGTGCTACTATTGCAGACATACTGGGGCTTAGGTATCAGACTGGATGTAGAGCTCTCTTCCCACTCCATTACCTACAGCCTGCATGCCACTGATAATAATAACAATACTTGCATTTGATATACACCTTATCATGTCATTGAGACTTCTCAAAGCACTTCATAGGAAATACTCTAAAGTGAATTGACTGTGTATTTTGGGCCCAAAATGAGCGGCTCAACACAGATCGAGGATCCAACCTTCAACTTTCAGAGGCTACAAACCTCTCACGCCCTCAGCTGCTCAACCTGAGATTTTGCTGCACAATTTAAGACTGTGCAAAATGGTGGAGAGATCCCACTGTTTAGTTCAGGATTTACTATAAAGACTATTGACTGTGCATTTTGTAGGTGATTGCGGCAGCCGGTTTGCGCACAGCAGTATCCCACTAACAGCCACAAAGTGAATGATCTTCTATCTTAAGACCTTGACTGTGCTTTCGGTCATCTTTCTCCTCCTTAAGCAGGATCTTCGCTTCACAGTTTAGGATAATTTCAATTCTTCACCATCTTAGATTTGAAGACAGAAAGGTTACGACTAGATGTAATTTCAGGCCTGGAGATGCCTCGATCCACTGGGGTAACAGGAGTCAGGAGAGAGGATTTTGATTTCTTTCTCCAACCCCCGCCTTCTCCTTCCCACTCAATATCTTCCCCCTTCTTCATACAAAGCCACCGGCTGATGCTGGGGCCTTCACAAGCCAATGAGTCAGGGCAGGGAAAGGACTCCTATGATGCACTGGGAAATGTCGGCCACCTTTGATTAACTTCAAAACAATCACTTCTACATGACTCCACTGACGCCTGAGGCCTTAATATCCCCAATTGTGTGTGCCAAGCTGTGCCAAGCTGATGAAGAGAATGCCCAGCAGTGCCAAGAGTTAGGGTGAGGGGATGGTCACCCAGAACCAAAATAGAGTGTGGTTTGTGAAAGGTAATGGCAGCAACCCAGAGAATATGAGAGCAGAAGGCACTGTTATTTGGCAGTATTAGGTTAGTGTCAGAGCAGCCTGCCCCAATACGGTTAGTAATGATGTGATGCTCACAGAGTTGCATCACCATTTACCATCTTCGACAGGATCTCAAGATCGGTTTGGATGAAGAAGGCCCTTCGATCCATTTGATCTCATCCTTCCAGAATCCCCACCCTACCATCTTCCCATCGCAGCCTCCATCTGTTTTGTGAAATAAGCTATGTTCCTTGCTGGTAATCTGTTCCAGTTGTTAATTACCTTCAAGGTAAATAAATATTTTATGGGGTCTGTGTTGAAGTTAACCTTTGCAACTCTTGTTGTGCTGCCTTGGTGCATCCAGAAGTACTGTCCTAGGTTTAATTTCCAGGGGCATTTAAGATTTTATACACCTGGACCACAGTAGGACATCTTCTAGCAAGACTGAGGAGCCCCAACATGTCTAATGCTTGATCAGATACAACAATAGAAATGGCATCACAGGGGGAGTCCATTTAACCCAAGATCCTGTGCTGGGGCTAGTTTTTTCCTTCCATTACCAGCACCATGGACACAACTACACTAATCCCAATTCTTGTCTTTCTCCAGACTTACATTCCTAGCCTTCAAATGGTTTGACAATTTCCATTTAAGTCTGTTATGATTTTTGACTATCTGTACTTGTGTCAAACAGGAAATATAGAATGTCAGAATCAAGCCACTTGCAATCCTCGAACGTCTAATAAGCTTTGGTGTTGGTTGAGCTGGCAGTCCATCTTATTTTACTCCGCTCCAATCCATGGGAACTGAGACAAACATAACCACCTGCTTCAGAAGGTCAATAGAACTTCCACAGAGGCAGGAGAGCTGCTGGAAGCACACAGAATGTAAGGACTTTGCTGTGGGTTAGTGTAACACAGGAGAAGGTAGAGGAGAGGACAGGGGAATGATGATGGGATCAGTGCAGAGATGGAGGCGGTGTGATGTTATGTAGTTGTTAGTGTGCGTCTCAGTGAGATGGAGGTGTCTGAACAAGTGTTGGACGTTTGACAGCTCACAATCATTCCGAGATTCTGAGGCACTATTAAGTGCCAGTTCCGACACTTTGCTTCTGTTACTCAAATCCCAATTCCCCGCTCTTTGCCCCATTTCTTTTCATGAAAGCTCTTCTCTACACAATTGTCTAACTTCTTCTCGAATGTGAACTAAATACACAGAATAATCAGAACCCAAACAGTCCATTGAAATTTTACTGATGTTTTTACTGAAGAACCTCCCATCCCAATTCCCCTCCCCAGTCTCCCCCCATATCTCGCTATTCAAGCAGGCATCGAGTTTTCATTTAAATATATTGATGTTTTCTACTTTAACCATGACCCCTGTGCTCCACCCCAACACCTGAGATTCTGACGGCAAAGTTTGGCCAAAAACTCGGAATCAGTGTGGTGAATAGTCAAACCCGCTTGTTGAGCACAGTTCGGACATCTCCCCACAAAAGAGTACCATAAGCCCCTCCACATCCCGCATCCCCCAACTTACCTCCGGTCATTCCGACGTCTCCGGAATAACTTTTTGGTTTGTGCGATCTCAGCTTCGTGAGGCAGCGGTTGGTAAACCTGAGAAATCAAACGAGAATCTCGATGAAGGAAGGTTACTGACAGGCTCAGAGCTTCCCCACCTCCTCAATAATATTAATAATAATCTTTGTATTTGGTATAGGGCCTTTCATGTCAGGAAGACGCCCCAAAGCACTTCACAGTGTAGTGACTATGTGTTTTCAAGATCCTCATCCTCACCTACAAGGCCATTCACGGCCTTGCTCCCTCCTACCTCTCCGACCTACTATCCCCCTCCCTACCTGCCCGTACCCTCCGTTCCTCTGGCTCCGGTCTGCTCCACATCCCCCGCCCCAACCGCCCTACCATCGGTGGTCGGGCCTTCAGCCTCTCAGCCCCCAGGCTCTGGAACTCCATCCCCCAGTGCCTTCGCCGCCTCCTCCCTTTCCTCCTTCAAGGCCGGTCTCAAAACCTTTCTCTTTGACCGAGCCTTCAGCTCCCCTCTCGACTCTCTTCCCCCTCCTCGCTCCCTCCCTTCCCTCCCCTCACCCTGACCATTTCCCCCTCCTCGCTCCTTCCCTCCCCTCACCCTGACCATTTCCCCCCTGCTCGGGTCATGACCCAACTGTGCAGCGCCTTGGGACGTCCTCCTGACGTGAAAGGCGCTTTATAAATGGAATCTTGTTGTTGTTGTTTTGGGCAAATACGGCAGCCAACAATGTCCAACAAATAGCCATTTTGTAACAGTAATGATTTATTTTATCTTTGGGATTGTCAGCCAGGACACAGGGAGAGAGAAACTCCCTTCTCTTTTTGATCAGTGCGTCTCACCTGAAAGCCGGCACCTCCGACAAAACAGTGCACCCTCAGCACTGCATTGGAGTGTCAGTCTAGATTATACAAGTTCAAACTCACAATTTGGGGTTAAGAACTCCCAGGCAAGAATGTGACCAACTGAACCAATTGAGAGTGTGACCAACTGATATGCTTGTAGAGGGCCCAGTGGGAAAAAGATTACCCCTGACCGTTGGTGTGCCCCAAGGGCGAGCATGCCCCACCCCTCTCAACATCACCCTGGCTGCCAAACTATAGCCAACCACATGTCAGGAGGCCATTCAACCCTCATTACTTGTGTCAAACAGGAAACGTCAGAATCAAGCCAACCCTCTGTGGCGATCTCTTGTCCAGTTCTTGAGCCAGGTGGGCCCACGGCACTACTGATTATGGACCTGCTTGGCTCATTGGCAGGACCTAGAAGGTCAGACCAGACACTAGGGGCCTCCCACTCAGCTACCATTAACCCTGCAAGCCCAAATCCTAATGGTCCAAGCTGGACAAGCAAAAGGAAGGCTTGCCAGACAGCGGTCTTAATTGCAAGCTATGTAGTTTTAGCTGACTAAACGTCAACACACACTCTGGTGTCTTCAGCCTCGGCTCTTGCCAACCTGCGCCTAATACCCTCTAGAATTAGGTAATAATAATAATCCTTGCATTTGATTTAGCGCTTTTCAGGTCTTCTAGACGTCTCAAAGAGCTTCACAGAATAGACTATAAAGTGAATTGACTGTATATTTGTGGGCGAAATGCGGCAGCCAGGTAAGCAGGATGCGTCCCTCCAGGGAGAGAGAGAACATTCCATTCCAATAAACATCTCTGAAATGCCCCGGAAATGTATAGCTGAGATTCACAGAACTCAGGTTTAGATACCTTAGAGTACAGTGTCAGACACCCGGATGAAGCAAAAAAACAATCAATCCACTGTATTTGTATTGGGAATTGCTCCACTAAGGACAGACGACACCTTCATCCTCTGCTCTTTCCCATATCCTTATACCCATCCTCTGCACATGCTTATGTATTCCTTGTTAGCCGCTGATCGGTAGCGGCTGTGGCCATGTGTAGAATCAAACTGTGATGAGACAGAAGCCTCCAACACACAGAAAGCTTTGGAGAAGATTCCCGAGCTGTGGAAGCGCAGTGAACAATCAAGGGAAGTCCGTCCAACCAACGCTTCCTTCCCCCCCAGCAGCCAGCGGTCAGTGGTACCTTGATCCCACAGGAGGAATTTTCTTGGAAGTTCGTTTTCAAAGTTTCTGTTGATAAAGGGGCTGAACGACAACCATGGGGTGATTGATGTGTGTGCATGAGGGGTGGTGTGGTTGTGTGTGTGTGTATGGTGGGGGGAGAAAAGAGGGGTAGTAAGGAGCCATCCACCAGGTGGATAACTCAATGATTTGCTGAATCTATCAGCGAGGACACCGGGAGATACTCCCTTCTCTTTTCCCACAGGGACGCAGAATCTTTAAGGTCCAGGAAATCAGATAAGACCTCAGTTTAACCTCCGACAATGCAGCACTCGCCCTGGCACTGCACTAAAGTCTCCGCCTTAGACTGTGAGTTCAAAGCCTTGACGTGGGGGCTCGAACCCACAATCTTCAGACTCACTTGAGATCAGAGCGCTACCCATTGAGCCAGGCTGACACATACACAGGTAGTGCTGCCAACGTCACTTTGCAAAAGAAGTGACGTCAGCAGCAACCTGACAGCCTCATAGACGCTCATTAATCTCGCTTTGCTTATAATGTGGCTGTTGAAATATTGGATACAGATGACTATGAAAGGCCTGTGCTCTGTATCAATATCTCACTAAATTACTTTCAGTGAGATATTAAACCCAGCTCGTCTGCTTGTTCTGATATTTAGGTTCACATTACAAATCTTGCAGTTCTGATTGCAGTTCTTCCAGGTGCTAGCGAATATTCCTCTCTAATCCAGTTGTAACCTCGTTGTTAGTCGATTGGCGGCAGATCACTTTCGGGAGGTAATAATCCCTCAAAATAATAATAATTTGGTTGCTCAACCCACAACTGTTTGTGGCACACTGCTGTGCGCAAATGGCTGCTGCGTTTCACCCAAAAAAAGTCAATTCCTTTTACAGTAAATTCTGTGATGCACTTTGAGAAGTCTCAACATGATAAGGCACTACAGCAAATGTAAGGATTATCATCATGGGATTGGCCTGGTGCACGGAGCAAACAAGGGAAACAGAGTAAGTGTCAATGCTGGAGATGGCAGACCCTGAGCCTGGCTCTATAATTAGCCCCATTTCCTACACTGAGGAACTCTGCAGGAACGCGCACACATCATTGAGGAAACACTATTGTCACCATGAGGGAACGCTTTCAGTCCAACAGCCTTCCTTTAGTTCCTCAGGGAGGTTGGGGAGTGGGCAAGATGCCAGGGATCTGGCAGAGCGGCACAGAACAGACACACAAACAAGCGTCCTATCTCCTCCTCTCCCCCCAGCACCACTCCTCGTTGATGCTTTCTTTGAAATGTCCCAGAGTTGATCAGAAGTGATTCCCTGATGGTGAACGATGGCCAGGAAAGCGTGGGAAGCTGTGTGTGGTTGGACACTGTCCAAGGCAGTCAGTGACCGGGCACAAAGCTGTAGCTTGTGCAGACACGAGCCATTCTGCTGTCAAGCAGTGGGCAAGAACTCAGGCCTTTATAAAGGGGGTGTGTGTTGTGTGTGTGAAAATGAACAAACTATTGTCTTGAATAATTAAATAAATAATCCATCAATTACTATTGCCCCTAACCTTGGGAATCCTCTGCCTCAATCCCTTCTTTCTGTCTGTCTTGCAACCCCACCTCAGCGCCTATCTCTTTGACTGCTCCTCTGGTCACCTCCCCCTCCCCTTTTTCACTTGCTTGGTATCCAATCCCACCACTTTGAAGCACATAGATATTGTCCTCCATGAAAAGCACTGAATAAATACAATAATAAATGGTTATTAATATAATAATCCTTTTGTTTAATATGGGGCCTCAAAGAGAAGTTTCAAAAGGCTTCACACAATGTACTGTAAAGTGTAGTGACTGTGTATTTTGCAGGCAAACACAGCAGCCAATTTGCACACAGCAACTCAAGCCAAAACAGTTATGATGTGAAAAATTTATTTTATCTGGGAGATGGTTGACCAGGACACCAGGAGAAAGTCCCTTCTCTTTTTGAACAGTACCACAGATTTTTAACGTCCACCTGAACAGACAGAGGGGAACTTGGTTTACCATCTCACCTGAAGGATGATACCTCCAAAAATTCAGCTCAGTGGAATGACTCCCTGCCCCCAGTGACTGGTCTGCACTTCCAAGTCCTGCCAATGAGCTCGGCTGGCTGTGCTGTCATCAGCAGTGCCCTGGCTCAGGAAACGGACTCGAGACTGTCACTGAGGGCTGGCTCGGTTCCTACATTCTGTTGCCAAACTGGTCACTTGATAAAGCACCTTTCATGTCAGAACAATTCGCCTACCAAAACAGTGACTTAACAATCAATCCTGTGAAGATAGATAGCCCTTTGTATTTGTAGGCGAACTGGAGCCTTCCCAATGGGTAAAGATCACCCCGGCTCTCTACAATACAGACTGCAAGGTCAAATTCCCGGCCTGTGCTGTTGGCTGTATTTAGTTGGGGCCAAGGCTAGGGACACAATTGGTCTCAGAACCCCCATTTATTAGGGAGTTGGGGACCAGCCAGGGGTCCATCTGGTCAGTGTTAGGAGTAAAAAACACAGCGATTCAACAGTATTTAAATATTGGAAATATGGGGGGTTAGTGAATGTTCACACACCAGCCCTCTGAGTGGAATGTCACTCGATTATTGTGCTTACAAATCATTTTATCTGGCTTATATATGGGGCTGCCTTCAATAACGTCCAGTGAGGGAAGGCTTTCAGCCCATGTGAGCGAGAGCCTGATCCCTGGAGATCCAGCTACCGAATTGCCTCCCGTGGTCCAAAAGGCACGGAGAGAGCTTTGCAGCCCTGTCTCCTCCTAGAAGTAGGTGAGATTGGGCATCTGTTAAGATGTAGGTGTGCACATACACACACCGCATACATACATAGGAACATTCAGCCCTTCAAGCCTGTTCCAACATTCTATTAGACGATGGCTGATCTGTACCTCGAGTCCAACTAATTATTAATCATACTTGGACAGGAATGCACAGACATACCTGACACAAGGCCCATGTCCCCAGAGACTCCAACCATTACTCAG